AGTAAATTACTAAAGTGAATGTAAAAATATACCCGACCGCATTTCCCATTTAATTTGACAGTCGCATCGGCTACCGTCCGGAATGCGCCGCCGTATTATAAACAAAAAAAGCACGCATCATTGACGCCCGTCTAAATATGGTGTATGCTAATCGCCCCTCGATGATAATGCTACTCAGCTATAATGCAAGTCATATGCACTCCAAGAAAAGACAAAAAACTAATTAATATACCAATTCTTAACATTTAATTCCATTCATTCCAACACCCTGTATAATATTTCCTTTAATTACTTACATTATTAATCCCAACACATAATAACATATTAAACGCATGTTGATGCGTCCTTTGTGTGAGCGTATAAAGTAATTTTATTCATTTTTATTTTTTCCTCTTGTGTCTTGTTTCGAGGGCGTCTCTTATTTATTTTTACATTTTACACGTTGATGCGTTTGATGAGAATGATGAAGTCTCGTCAGCGATGATTTATTAGAAACGGTCAGCGGCTAATCGAAACGTGTCCTAAGTAGATACATTATTATTTTATCCACATCGGTAGCCGGCTTCGAATTAGAAATTTCGCCGCATCGGCGCACCGCAGCGATGTTATCGTCGTGTGTATAAACATTATTACACTCAATCGGACGGTACGACGTCACAGCGCTACCGAAATCAAAATCAAACCTCTAGCTATTAATTACAATCGCCAATCGGTCAATCAGGGTTTTAATAGATGATGCTCCATTATTACTCTCATACGAGTACTATGATCAATTTGTTTATAATAGATTAGTTTCCTTTTCTTAGAAGTCATCTAATTACAAGAGTTTTAGTGAAAGGTATTTAAGTTGCCTATATTAGGAGTATGTGTCATGTGTATATTTGGTTGCATAAATTATATCGTAGTTATATTTTTCATTAAATTTATTTTTATATTTTATAGGTGTAATTATATGTGCGAGGGGTGGAGTTGGAATTAAAATAGGAAGCGAAACGTTCGGACAAGATCTCGCAATGTCCGACGTCAATCAACTTGACGATACGCCTGTTCTAATTAATCTTGGGATTAATAATTACCTACTCTAAATAATATTTTATTTTGTGGTTAACTTTTAAGAAAATTACATCAATATATCTGTAATTTAAAAATTAAGCGTGAAATATGTTGGTAAGCGCATAACTCCACAACGCCTACACCAATTTGGCCAATTCTTTTTTTTAAATGTTTGTTACAGTTCAAGGATGGTTTTTATGGCGAGAAAAATTCGAATAATTGTCGGGAAAACCCGAAAGGCAGCTCTTTTCTATAGGATAAAAGTTGGCATTGAGATTCAATCATAGTTATAGTTAAATAGTTGAATCCGAGATGGCGCGCTGAAGTGCATTATTAGCAATTCTTTAAATAATTAATTTCTTTAAAATAAAGTTGCAAATCTTATTGATAGAATTGACACATATTATTTATATGTCTAAAACAAGAGAGTAAAAACGAATTACATTTTTATTAAACACGCGACGAAAAAGTTAGTATAGGTATAAAAGAAAGTTGCGTTAATTAGATCACTTATAACTGACGAACTGCTGGACAGATTTCGATGATCTGTGATATATTTAATTGGTTTTTGATTCGAATTACAGAATAACTATTAAAATTGCAAAAGTTATGATTTAAAGAGTGTTAAATAAGGGATGAAAATTGGTATTAAGATTCAATTATAGTTTTACCTACATAATTAAATCCGAGATGGCGCTGAAGTGTAGTATTAGCAATTTTTATTTCTTTAAATTAAATTATGAATTTTATTGATGGAATCGACACATCGTCTTAATCACGAAAGAAACAAAGTGGCGGACAAAAGCTATTTTTCTTTTAATAATGACGTCAAAATTTATAAATTTTGTTTTATTATTTCCTATTATTTTTATTATTTATTATTTACTGAAATGACTATTTGAAAGAGAAAACACACACATGTGGCGTCTGGATATTAATAAGCAAACAATATGGTGCCGTCTTTGTGAGTGCCGCAAGACCAACACAAAAAAAAAACGAAACCAAAAGAATACTTATATCTGAAGATGCCCCAAAGCGTTGCTCGTTCACAAGTTTTTATTTATTGATAATTTATGCAAAAACTTTTTACCTTCTCCTCTCTTCTTTTCTTCGTATACTTTACAAGTTTATATACACGTACGAGCAGCCCAACAAGTCAAATACGAGTAACATTTTGGTCCAAGCCTGGTTTTGGTGGCGCCTGACTCTCCGACCCAATTCGAAACCAAACGCGTTGAAAAATTTTCATAAATATTTTCTTTAATTAAACCGAATCTATTAATTAAAAACAAACGCCTGGCGCCTCCTGGCTGCCTTATTATTTATTTATTTATTTAAATTAAACGTTTTTTCTGCTTGCGTATTGTTTTTGTATGTTTTTCGTTCATTTAAAATTCAAATTTTTAATAATTCATACTCCGAAATGTGTTAAAGTCAATTTACGTATGGGTTTAATTTTGTAGGTTATGTTAAGGTTGTGTAATGGGTTAATGTTGGATAATGTTGATTGAAAATTGATTAAACATGATTCTTGAAGACAATTTCACACAGTTTTAATCATTTTTCGAAAAATTTTAATACAAAACCAACGCGTACACAAAATGGCCGCCATGTTTTTCATCGAGGTATCTATAAGTTGTATTAATAGACTCACCTGTAGAATTTCAATCGATGTTCCATTAAACACACTACTCACTTAACTCTAACCTAACTTAAGCGGCAGTTAACTTTCATTTAAGTTATTTGCGCGTACGCTGTGTTGTTGTGTTTTTGTGTGTGTGTGCCCAAGAGTGGTTATGTCGTGGCTTGATTGTGTTGTTACGTTGATGGCGCAAAAAGCGCGCAGCAGATTGCTTTCGCAACGCGCGTGATATTAATATTATAGGCGCGATTAAGCGGCGATAAGCGGAAATTGGTCTATTTTTAAGGGATAATTGGCCGCCGACGTGCCGCCCGTACGCCGCCGCGCTCGCATACTTATTATGGCTAATAAAATTACTTTTATGCCTCCGTATTGCGGAATTTATTAATTTTATTACTTCAATTTTGTGCGGAGACTCCAGCCGTCGAAGCGCACATCCACCAAGTGTGTTTGGAAATCGCTCACACGTTAAAAACACTCACCACAACTAATCAACTGAAATTTATAGGTTATGTTAGAGTTGTGTATTTTTAGAGTATTATAGAAAGACGTGTATGTAAGTATAGGTGTCACTAGGTGGCGTTAATGTAACACATGGTATTTTTGGCTTTGTTTTGGTCGTCGGCGTTGGAGCGTTTAATTTTTAATGAACTTTTAGCGCGTCGGGCTTTTAATGATTTTGATGAAACGTGCAAACAAGAACGCGGCCGTGCCAAACGCGTTAAATTCGCCGCAGCGATGTTATTAAAAAACCTTCTCCCAGCACTCATATTCGACTCCGAGACGCTCTAATTTAGTGCCGGGACTAAAGATCGTGTGCGTAATAACGCTCTTCTTCCTCCTGTGGCGAATTTCGTTCGGAACGCTTTAATTTTCATTCGGTACCGATGGGTTTTAATTAAAATTTCGCCACACATTTTCACCGCACAAACGTACAAAATTCCGACATTGATAATTTGTGTGTAACATAGGCAACGTAATATACTTACAAGTTAACATAATATGTTGCCTACATTAACTAAACCTAAATTGTGATAGGAGTGGTAGGATAAGTGAAGCGAGAAGTTACGAAGTAAACCGATTGGAAGCATAAATCACATTCGGTAATTGTTTACACACCGTGACATATTTATTGGCTGTAAAGTTATGAGCGCATGAGTTATGACGCGCGCCTAGAGCTCACAGAGCTTTAGTTTCTGCCTTTTGCCGAGTTTAATGGGGATTTTAATTAAATTTTGAAACAATGTTTACTTTTCCACTTAACCTCACACAATTTATGATCGTCCACACTATACAACACCTTGTTGTTCAACTTATGCAACCAATATAACATCATTTAACTTTCAGAAAGTATTTCTTGTTTTTCTTCCAAAATATTTACATTTTTGATTTAAAACCCTAAAAAGTAATATCCCATTGATGTAATAACAATTAGAATTAACATATTTGATTGTTTCCACTCGTGCCGTTTAAAAATCTTCGGTTTTTCGACGCCCCGCGTCCAAAACAAGCCGAAACCTCACGAAATTTATCGCCTCTCGGAGCGAATCTCGTGTCCGGTAATAATAATCGTCCGGTAATGACCGCGGCGGCGTCCCTTTTCGTTTTGCTCCTTTTGACGTCTTCAGCATCTCAAATGTGAGCGCGTGTGCGCGGATTTAATATTTTAACTTTATTACACAAGCGTCGCGAGGGCGCACGCTGCGCCGGACACGAAAACCAGCGCGCGTCCATTCGATATAAATTCAATTGACTTTTATACATTTTATGCGCGCTTTTAAAGTTTGCTTTAACATAAAAACAACAGACGCATAAGTTGTTTGTTTTTTACTCGGAGACAATCAAATCTTAAAGCGGTTAAACGTTGCTTGCATTTCCATTTGTCACACACACAGAAAATGTAATTTGTAATTTAATTTAGTTCTATAAAATGCACACATCACACTCTCGCATACGGTTTTCGTAAACGGCTCCGTGTATCTCCTGCTGTGAGGCGAGCGAACGTAGGTCGCGTTTTATTTTGCAATAAACTAGATATCTTAACGATGCGATGTCTCAAAGCGCCTCGTATATCTGCCTGGCCCGGTACACATCGGTGAAATGACTAAAATTCGTGTTAAAATATTGCTTTTTTCAGTGTAAACTATTTAATACTACAATATGTTTAATATAGGCAACTTTTATTACACAAATTGTCAATTGGGTTGCCTATGTGAATAACAAAACAATCATTTAAATTTGCTCACGTAACATTTACCTAATACTTGATTATTGCTTAAAATTTCACTCATTTCTGTACTTTCAGCTCCTTGTACTCGTTTGGAAGTATCATTACGTGTGTTATTACTTGTTGCACGTACCCATCTCTTATTATGAGCAATTAGCGTGCGCTGCAAGTCTTCGACAGGTAATAACCGAGTGGCGAAGCTTCCAGGAAGCTCGAAAAAAGAAAAAAACGAACGAGTTTGGGCGGTTTAATTGCGAATTGCTAAACGCACAACGCACAGCACGCACAAAATGTGTTAAAAGTACGTTTTACAGCAAGTAAAAATTCTGAAACGGACAATTGAAAGTGGAAAGTGGACAAAATGACAAAAATGACAATTGTCACAATTGCAACAACAACAAGTGAATAACTGGGAAATAACTGAAACTAAACGGTCAGCGTTAAGCAGAATCGTTACGAAATGACAAATTGTTGGTAATTATTAATCATGAAAAGAGTTAAAGTGTGTTAAATTGTCGCCAGGAGTGATTCCCAGAGATGGCCAACAATACAAAATGACATGTGACAATTGCAACTGATCATATGGTGTTATTTGGGTTGCCTGCAAGTAATTCAAAAATACATAACCATAAGTAATGTGTTTTAATACTTTAAGAAGATTTTTCGTTGACTAGAAGCAATTTTTCAGCCTTTTTAGTGATGAATCGTTAATCTTGTTTCCAATTAATTACACGTGCCTCACCAACGGTCGTGAATGGGTTTCGACGCGTAATTTTTCGTTTCATCGCGCGCTGCGCGGTGATTAACAACATTAGCCGCATTAGCCACATTAACCATTATTAACCTTCCACATCCTAAGCCCCAGCCTTCCGCTCGTCGACGCACAAAGGCGCGTAATTAATTTGATTCGTCGTTTTCGCGGCGCTCAATGGAAATAAACGACGAGTGTGCGCGTAATTGCGTATTCATTAGTCTCATTAAACACGCATTGAGCATTCGATGTTAAATCTAAACGTGTTTCTTTTGATTTGTTGATAATAACGCGCGCTTTTTATTAGTGAACAATCCGTGGTAATCATAATCACTAAACAAATAAAACTAAAGTAACAAGACGTTAAATTTGTATTCATAATATTATGAATACGTATATCCCAATGTATTAAAGTTTAAAAAGAATTAACTGCATTGTAGGCAATCCAATAGACAAATTATAAAGTAATTAGTGTTTTACTTGTCAACCGCTATAGATACGAATGTGAAAATCAGTAGCTTTATTCTCTATAAAATTCTCTATAAAATGATACATTGTGCAATATTATTCGATGTTTAATACCTGAGATATTACGTTTTAAAGTTTAAAAAATGTATGCAACCTAATATACGTATTTTGCACAATAAAACCATTCATAAAAAATATTAACTAATGTGTTTGTCTAATTGGCATTCTCGATTGATCCTGGTACACGCATGCGCAATTTACTGATTGGATTAAAACGCATTACACAGCAATTTATTAACGCATGATGAGAACATAAACATTTTGCGGCTAATGTAACGATTAATACCGTGTATAATGCATGCAATTAATTGAACACATGTTCTTGCGCTAATTATTACATCTTTAATTGGTGATATAAAAATTGCAAAAGAAGAAATGAAATTATTTTACTTTTATATGGCGATTAGTTAAACTATAGGCAATCCAAAATACAAACCTGTGTTAAATATAATTAATGAGCATTTAAAAGATGTAAATTTTACAATTAAACGGATATTACAGGATGATGCACCGTGATATAACATCCCGGAGCGTCTCCGCTGATGACGATGACGAGCGGCGAGCGGCGAACGTGTTGAACCGTTTAACCTCGCGTAATTGCTCTGCGCGTGTTTCTTCGCGCTGCGCAGCGCACTAAAATTTTCGCCGTTCGTTACATTTTTAAAACTCTCGTTGCGCACGTTGTGTGGTGGGCACACGTTTAATTATGTTTTGTTCTAATATTGTGTGTCTCTCGCGGCGGATGGCAGGCCGCGCGGCGGTTCATTACAATGATTGGCACTTTCAATTAATATTAACATGGAGGACGGCGCATGGACCCACCGCGCTCCGTCGGCCCTCGTTTCATTCACATCATAAATTATATTTATTATTCATGCGCACATAAACGCATCATCGCGCCACGAACCAATCTTGGAAATTTAATTCAACTAGGAAAAATATTCAGTGGTTTTTCATCTTGTGTTTAATATAGGCAATACAAATTACAAAAACATACACTACATGAATAAAAATCATAATTTCAAACTAAAAAGTTGATTTTTATGCTTAAATACGTGTTTAAACGCGAAAAATTAAATAAAAACAACAAAATGTTTAATAAACAGCTCAGATAAATAAATTTTTACAAAATTTTACTTAAAATTTAAAAATTATGTTTTTATTATTTTAATTTCACTGTATGCAACACACTTTGCACATAAAGAAAAATCTGAATTCTAAAGTAAACAATTTTGTTTAATTTCTCGCTCGCGGACTGAAAGCAAAATACTTCGTGATCGAGCATCGGTGTCAGCATGCAGCCACGGGGCACAATTAGTACCCGATGCGAGTAATTATCGGCGAGGCAGGTGAGTAATGACGCACCCCCTCTGGGGAGAGCATTGGAAATCGAGCCGCCAACACCAAGTCCTAGTTATTACTCATTTCGTCGAGAAACTCAAACCGTTGAAACAAATGAATCAAAGATCAACAACCAACAATGAACAAACACACATGCTGATATTGTGTAATATGAAATTCAAGACATATTTTAATAATAATGCAAAAACAATGTTACGATAACTAAATTTTACTGAAGAATGTAAACTGTCAGTGGTTTCTCGACGTATTGCGCTGGGAAATGATAGAATTATCAAGGTATGCGCTTCAGTTTCGAGCAATTATGATAAGCGGACTTTTATTTCGTGATAATTGACTCGCACATGCATGTCGCACATAGAATAACATATGATTACTAAAAGTATTTGCATTCCTTTCGGTTAATAAGCAATTACACGTGAAAATATTGATATTGCAACGTTTTGCATAATTTATGTCATTTTATTTAAATTTATCTGTTGTTTAGCAATTATCTAATTAAAATTAATGCCAGTTTAAAAGCAGAACTCATCATCCACTCGTCCACGGATCTTGACTAAACTGGTGTTGTTGTTGTGGTTTTTTTTTGACTCGTCATTCTGTAGAAGAGGATGATGTGTAGCCGATGGGAGAGTATGATAGAGATGGCGATGTTTCTGGCCGAGAGGAGCAAATTAATCATGGTGTAATCGAGTTGATGGATACTTTTTAATTTAATAAATAATGAGAAACGTATTAGGCCACAGTCACGGACGCTTCGGAGGACCCGGTCGGATGTTGGCAGGTGAGACCCAAACCCCAATAAAGGTAAGGCAAGGTAACACAAGGTAAACGATAGTAAACGATATTCATCGGTTTTTATTCATTTTTATTTCGTTTTTAACGGAATAAAGAAAGTTTATGAAACAAAAAATTAATGGGGTCTATGTTGTTGATTCAGACTAATTGGCTCACCGCATGGGGGCTACTAAGGGTTACTATGTTGTATTATTGTAGTTAAATATTCATTTTATAAATTAGCAAATATTCTGAAGAGAATTTTTCATTTTAAGAACACAATTCCAAAATAAATCAATTTTTTATTATTGTGCATGTTAGTTAAAATGGTTTGCTTTTATTAATAACTACCTTTAGCCCGCGGCTTTGGCCTGGTAGTGTTTAATAAAAATGTCATTTGTTTTTACTCTCTTGTTCTAGACATAGTATGTGTCAATTCTATCCATAAGATTCGCAATTTTATTTTTAAGAAATTAATGTATATAAAAAATTGCTAATAATGAACTTTAGCGCGCCATCTAGGATTCAACTACTTAACTATAACAATGATTGAATCTCAATGTCAACTTTTATCCTATAGAAAAGGGCTGTCTTTAGAGTTTTCCCGGCAATTATTCGAATTTTTCTTGCCGTAAAAACCATCCTTGGACTTTAACAAACATTTTAAAAAAAGAATTGGCCAAATTGGTCTAGGCGTTGTATAGTTATGCGCTTACCAACAAATTTTGCAACTTATTTTTATATTATAGATATACATTTAATTTTCTTCTAAATATTGATAAAATAAATATAACCATATAACTGTACAAAATACTATGTTAATTTTTCAAAATTAGTCACATACAAAAAATTTATCCAAATGCCTCAAAACATTTATCTCTTTTTAGTATTAAAACAGAATAATTATCAAATGTGAATGGTTATTGCTCAAATAAATGTAATTAAAACATGCCTGTCAGTGGAACATTCTTTGTAAACCGTTTATTTAACTGCGGGCAATTTGCTCACAACTCACATCGCAATTAAACAAAAATTATGAATTTTAAGTTTTTATAAATTATACAAACGTATAAACAATACTCGTTTGCAGTGTGTTTGAATGTTTGAAATGCTCGCGGCGCTACACACACAAAACGTAAATTAATTTGAATATTAATTTGAATAATGCGATGATGCTATTAACATGAAATGTGCTTTGGGTTGCGATATGCGATGTGAAAAGGAACAGAACATCAGGAAATATCAAGTTCGCGAAGAGCCGGCACAAATGTGAATTAAAACGATTGTAATGATTGTAATTGCGTACGCAACGCCCTCGGGGATGGGCAATTACCCTGTCAGTTTGCATTCGGATGGGTTTACATCAAGAAAACTCGAAAATATAAAGAAAGAAGAGAATAATCAAGTAAAAGTATAGTTTACTACCTTTTGCCCGCGACTTCGTCCTGGTAGTGTTTAATAAAAATATAATTCGGTTTTACTCTCTTGTTCTAGACATAGTATGTGTCAATTCTATCAATAAGATTCGCAATTTTATTTTAAAGAAATAATTATATAAAGAATTGCTAATAATGCACTTCAGCGCGCCATCTCGGATTCAACTATTTAACTATAACTATGATTGAATCTCAATGCCAATTTTTATCCTAGAGAAAAGGGCTGTCTTTAGGGTTTTCCCGGCAATTATTCGAATTTTTCTCGTCGTAAAATCCATTCTTGGACATTAACGAAGATTAGAAAAAAGAATTAGCCAAATTGGTCCTGGCGTTGTTGAGGTATGCGCTTACCAACAGATTTTGCGATTCATTTTTATGTTATAGATCTGTAACCGCCTGATGCAATTGCGGTTGAGGAGCATAAAACTACATGTGAGGGCGCTGTTGACATAAAAATACCTACTTTGCTTTATAACCTTTCAAAATATCCAATGTAAACACGTTTTTTACACATAACCACACTTAAAACCTATTTATAACCTCAAAAGAGTGTTAGTCGTTACTTTTAGATACATTTTAATCCATAAAATATAATAAAATGTGAGATATAATAATTTAATGTAAAACAGTCTCCCAATTAAAAAATCTTAAGAGGGTGGGTGTTTTTATTGAGGTTAGTGCCCTTGGTTCGCGCAGGTTGACTCCAGCGTGGAAGTGTTCGAGTCCAGCCGACGTAATAAAGCAGGCCTGTAATCAGTCTGTCAGTGGGCCACGCCCGGTCCGGCCCTGACGAAATTAAATTACACGTATACGGGGGCCGATTACGCGCACACCCCGCGCGGGCCGTGTGCGCTTATCTGCGAGCGTCATCTTTTATATTAAACGATAATGCGTCGTTTAAATTGGATAAAAGGATGCTGCAGCAGTGCACTGGCGATCAGAAAACTAATTAATCGAGGATCTACCATCGTAATATACCATATGTTCAAATAAATTCAAATTAATACTAATATAAACGACTAATGTGTATAAAAGTTGCCTATCTTTAAATTTTGAAATTTATGAGGACATATTGTATTGAATCTTAAATTGGATTGCAGTCTGAGGAGAATCAGTGGTTTAATAAGTAACAAGTGTTTTGGGCTACCGTCCACTCGCGGACTGCCCTTTTCTCGTTCGCAATTAGCATTAGTTAATAACCGATCGATAAACGCAATAAAATGCGGCGGCAAAGAGCTGAAGCGTCGTCGTCTTCTGTATAGGAAGCAGAAACATGCGATTCATTTATTTTTGTCCGCAGTGGACGGCCCTGAACAGGAATTAATGATTTATTAAGATATAACTTTAATTAACAGTAAATGAAACATGAATTCACTTTTATTTTGAGGTTATTGCAGTAAAAACAGGATATTTCATGATTTATTATCAAATTCTTTAGAAATTAACTATTTCTAACCTCAAATTAGTTTTTAATAGATGGCGGCACTGTGAATAAAATTAATAAATATACATGTTATTAAATTTATTTAAACATTTTTATGCACTTTATTAAAAATTTATTGCTCTTTTAATTTGTTTTAAACTTTAGTTTACATTTTCTCATTCTAAACTGGACGGATTGTCGACATTTTGATTTTTCCGCAATTTACTTTAAGCTATGTTCGTTTTTTTGTCAAATATCTACATACATCTAGACATATTATACTTGTACAATACACATTTCACTTATTCATAAATTTTTGAGGTGCTCCCCACCACTGGGCAAATCTCTATCATTGATAGAAATGCACAAAAAAAATGTTTCCAACATTTCAAAAATTATTAAATACAATAATTATTACTTCATACGTTCGTTTTTAACTATGTACAATTTAAAAATTAATTTTTACCGGTTTTTATTAAGTACGTAGAAATATTTTGTATGTGGACGGATTACGTTGCTCGAATCACGTTATTTAAGTACGTAAAATTGCCTACATCACAGGCTTTAACTAATGAGATCGCCGCCATTCTGCCGCAGCATCTCGAGTCGCAGTTCATGCTCGCGCGCTTTGAGTCGCAGTGAGGCGATGCTTGAGCTGCGCCGGTCGACATCCGGTGGTGAGACTGGAGCTGATGAAGACGCACCCCCGGGAGAAAGCGGCGGCGATTGAGACGCCGGCATCTTAGGTCGCTGCTGCTGTGCGGCGGAGATATTCGCCAATAGGGTTTGAAAGGAGCTGGCGGATGGGTACAGTCCAACGCCGGGTGGGAGAAGGCCTGGTGGGGCGCCCGCCCCCGGTCGGTGGTGATAATGGGGCGGCGCGGGTAAATAACCAGGAAGGACGTGCGGCGGGTAGCGGAACGCTAGCGCATCGAAGGGTTTACGCAGTCCGAAGGGGAGATTAAAAGGATTGGGTAATGATGGCGCGACGACTGATTGTGGTGGTGCGCCTGCGTTCGGTGACAAGTAGGGGTTGTAAGGGTGACCGGCGGGGCCGACTTTTTCCTGCTTGCGCCATTTTGCACGACGGTTTTGGAACCACACCTGAAATTAATTAAAATTTTTATTACAATAAAAGAAAACAGTAACGTGTTATGTAAGTGTAAGATTATACAGTGTGTCCTAATTCTTAAATTTATTAGTTTTTTTTTGTTATTTCGCAATTAGTTTGTAATTATCTCATCAAAATATACCGGTAGCCGAAATTACCGCCGGCGCACGTGCAATACTCCACGGAATGTGCTCGATTAATTAGCTCGATTTTATGCCCGCGAATACTTCACCTTTTTGTGCGCTTATTTCAAACCGAAAGACGTTTTTCTTCATTCGCTCGAATTCCAGCGGATTGTAATTGAACGCCGGCCGCAATTAACTCGCAAACAAATTGAATCATTTTTTCGCTAATCGCCGCTCGTCTCTCGCCGATCATTAAGTAATTAAGCATCATTAAGCGCATTAAAATGATTAAGATTCCTGCGCGTTGCGCGTTTCACTTCGGATAAAACAAAAAATCCACAACATAACAACAACAAAAAAAAACAAAAAAAAACAGTGAATGTTGTTGAGTGTTGTGTGTTGTGATGGTAAGATGACTTTGTTAAACTTTGCTAAACTTTGTTCAAAGTTTATAAAAGAGTCTTTAATGTCTGGTAATGAACAATAAACCAATTAATCGATACGAATCGAAGAGCGCGTTTGTGAACCATCATCAATAGTCAGCATGATGATCGTAATTACAATCGCGCAGGTATAGATGAGCGCTGCAACGGCCGCGGGCTTTGATTAATGATTGCGTGATTAATGGACGAAACAAAGGTTGCCGTTTAATCAACTTAATTACCGCCCTCTTTGTCGAGTCATTACGCGTTTAAACGACGAGGCGACCTTTCACTCCCAGACAACTTAAAATACAATATTTCAATACGTTCGCGACCAGAATCATAAAGCAATAAATTTATTTATGTAAGAGCTTTATTGTAAGGTTAGAAATATTCGTCAACGTAAATGGCAAGCTTTTATAATATCATTGGCCACTAAATTTTCTCAGGAATTACTAATTTAACCAATTTCAATTCAAAGAAAATGCAAAATGTTAATAATGCATGTTAGCGCCATCTGGGTTTGAATTATATAACTATAACTATAATTAGCTTTTTCTCGCGACTTCGTTCCGGTAGTGTCCAATAAAAATGTAATTCGTTTTTACTCTCTTGTTCTAGACATAGTATGTGTCAATTATATCAATAAGATTCGCAATTTTATTTTAAACAAATTAATTATATAAAGAATTGCTAATAATGCACTTCAATGCGCCATCTCGGATTCAACTATTTAACTATAACTATGATTGAATCTCAATGCCAACTTTTATCCTATAGAAAAGGGCTGTCTTTAGGGTTTTCCCGGCAATTATTCGAATTTTTCTCGCCGTAAAAACCATCCTTGGACTTTAACAAACATTTAAAAAAAATAATGGGCTAAATTAGTCTAGGCGTAATTGAGTTATACGCTTACCAACAGAATTTGCGATTCATTTTCATATTATAAATTGATGTTTTTCAGAATTTTGAAGTTTTTTTTACGTAAAATAATTATTAAATGACCTTACACTTAATTTCACCGGTTGTACCTTTAAGTCATCACTCAAAATTACATTATAAATTGTTTTTCTTTGCTTTAAGTGAGGTTATGATAAAATATAAGTTAAATTTCATTGTGAATGCACCGAAATACACATAAATTACATTTTCTGGTCATTGTAAAGCTTTAACTGGTAATATTATAATATTAATATTTACGCTGGTAGCGAAGACAAAAACGTATGATTAAGTCCGTTGGCGTGTCATTATTGAATTATTCGGTGCAGTGCCCTGCGCGTTTCGACATTGCACACGCACATTACACTCATTACACACGCAGGCGCTGGCATTTTCGTGCGAAACGCAAAAATCGCAAATTGTAATTGCGATCGACATGTTCCACGAACTCATTCATACCACACGCTCAACCATAATATATAGTAAAAGTTTAAAAAGGTACACTAAACCACTTTTTGTTAACTTAACTTAACTTAAGTTAAAGTAAGTAAGGTAGCCGTATAACTTATGCTAAATATTTTATTACAATGTTATTGACTTGCAGCCGGTAAACAAGAATAGAATAAATTGCATTCTGCGAAACGTGTTTCGATTTTTCTTTCCATGCGCTCTCTTCCTGTCCCGTCGTCGGCGCGCGTAGAGGAAACGCAGCTTTTTTTTGTTACTGGATAATTAGATGGAGATTAGTTGAGTTACGTGTAATCATTTTAATAAATGTCATTTTCTCTTGGTGAATACTCAACTATAATACTTGCTTAAGTATAAAAGTCGACAACTTTTGAGAGGCATTTTGAGTTTGGTTTTGTTTTGATTTGTTTTACTTGAAAAAAGTGATTGTTTAACGAAGCGTGTAATTAGAAAACGAGTCGTTACGTGGAGGTTTCCTCACTTTGTTTAAAACTCGCGTAAAACGGACAAAAATGAACAAAAAGTTAAATTTTGCTTTTGAGCGTCGCCCAAGCGTCACTCTGATGATAAATCTTTTGTTATACGTTGATATTTTGTTCTGTTAATGAACAAAAATGAGTAAAATTTAATTAATTTGATTAGGATGTAATTATTTAAATTTTTGATTATTACAAAGCGTGGGTGTTTTCTTCAACTGTAATAAACAACAAATAAGCAGGTAGTTTTAGTGATTATGCGGCGTTTTCGTTTTTCGGGCCTAATTCAATTCTAATTTTCTCGTTTTCTCTCTACGCCTTCCTCCTTCCCAGCCGCACGTCGGCGGCACTAATTTCCATTAATTTCCCACTAATATGTCCTAATTCGTTTCGATTCCCCGCGCCTAATTCGTGCGCATTACGGGCGTTACGCGCCCAGCGCCAGATTCGGATGCAATTATATGCTGATGACTACCGATTATTATTACAATATTCCCGCCGACGTAATCACCGGGTAGGTTTTGATTATTTTCTCAACGCACAAAACGATATTACTTTCCGTAATTCGTTATAATTCACTTCAATAAAATGCCTACAGATGGCGCCGGTTAGGACTTCGTTTAATTACATTTCTTCCAAGGTTTTGGTCTAAGTTGAGATTGAAAAATTGTAAAATTGAAACAACAAAATGCACTTTAATCTCATTTACTCATAATTCCAGCCATTAGTTGATGATACATCTCGGCGGCCGGTTTCGAAAAAGTGAGGACAGAAGATGAGCACAAAAACTCGCGAGCTGGCACGAAACAAAGACACCGTGTGGACAAATAATGATGATTTGAGTCACGTAATTCTTCCGTTCCGGCGCTCGTCTCGTTCTTCTCGTAATTGAATTATGAGCAGAAAAACGAAAAATGATACAGTGTAGGTTAGGCAACCAAATAAACAAAAATAAAATACATTATAACACAGAGGGTTTTATATATTACTAGATTTTGCCTGCGACTTCGTCCTGGTATTGTTTAATAAAAATGTAATTCGTTGTTACTCTCTTGTTCTAGACATAGTATGTGTCAATTCTATCAATAAGATTCGCTATTTTATTTTAAAGAAATTAATTATATAAAGAATTGCTTATAATGCACTTCAGCGCGCCATCTCGGATTCAACTATTTAACTATAACTATGATTGAATTTCAATGCTAACTTTTATCCTATAGAAAAGGGCTGTCTTTAGGGTTTTCCCTGCAATTATTCGAATTTTTCTCGCCGTATAAACCATCCTTGGACTTTAACAAACATTTTATAAAAGAATTGGACAAATTGGTCTAAGCGTTGTTGAGATATGCGCTTTGCAACAGATTTTGCGATTCATTTTTATATTATTACTTAAACTAAAAATGAAAACACAAAACAGTTAATCTTCTAACGCAGGTGGACGAAAATTAAAATTAAAAATTCAATTACAAATTAAAACACGATGTAATAGGTAATAATACGTTAGTGTAACACGACCGAAAATGTTAATTAATTTCACGGAATGGTTTCGAACGTAGCTACACACGCATAATTTACCTTTTGAAAAATTTTGTTTCCTTACGTCAAGGATAGTATCAGCAATCAGTAATCGGTAATCGCGATCACTAATTGCGAGTTAATGTAGTTAATGTAACTGCGGACTGCTTAATCTAAATCACATTACGATTACAAATGTACGCGCGCGCGCCGATGTTGGTATGCGTTACACATTTGCCTAAACGATATTACATTCAACAACAGTCGTTTCGATTATACGCGCACGCCGCGCCGTTCGAATATTTACATGGGGCAGCTTTAATATATATTATATTAGCATTAGTGGGTTTGTCGCGCATTAGTTATTGGTCGATGTGGTTTTCTATTAGCCGCGAGTTACACGCCACTAATGCAACATAATGTTATGTCGTGTCCGGTCCGAAGGCGAAACTCGAAAAGATCTTATTATTTGATAAGTTAATTTATACACGCATACAGATACACACACATTTATAACACACTGACACACATAGAGATGGAATTGAGCGGGGAGGGACGAAGCTTGTTATAATTGCTTCCTGGTTAATAACAGAGCTATGATGTAAATTGGATAGGAACTGAAATGAGTATAATTCAATGAAATTTTGATTCTTTAACTGGTAATATCTCAACTTGTAGTGAATTAAAAAAAATCTGATTGAAGTATAAATTGGATGAATTTAAAGACTGTTTGTTGCCGGATTTTAATGATGATCCGTCAATTAATTTTTATGTTATAATGGGAATTGTAAACTCACAAATGAAATGAAATTTGAATTTTTTTTCTAGAAATTTTAACGTGTAATTATTTAACATTTAATTACAAATCAAAATTTCTGTTTCCGCCAAAAATTTCCAATTAATTATCTATAATCTAAAAATTAATCGCAAAATATGTTGGTAAGCGCATAACTCAACAACGCCTTAACCAATTTGGACAATTCTTTTTTAAATTGTTTGTTAAAGTCCAAGGATGGTTATTACAGCGAGAAAAATTTGAAAAATTGCC